TTCACTCTTATGTTATTGGGTTATGTCATTTCATTTCTTTGTTCATTGGTTTTTTGTACAGGGACAGGTTCGAGAAGGAATAGGAGAGCCATAGATGACCTATTTTAGCTTTAAGTAGAGAGGGATTGTAATGAGAGAACTAAAAAAAAAAGGGGTAGAGAGAAAATTGCAAGTCTTCAAGAGTAGCAGAGTTCTTTTAGGGTTTAGTTAAGAGTTTAGTCTTTAAAAAGTCAGTAGGTATTTCGGGGTTATGTGTTTGTCTTTTTTCTCTTCTGAATTCTTTTTTCCTTTTCCCTTCTTCCTTATGGGAATTCTTTTTGCAGTTGATCTGTTAGTAGAAAATTCTGAGATGAGTAATGCCATTTGAAATCTTGTTCTAAATGCATGGCTCTCTGCAATTTTCCCCCTGACTCTTCCCTTTCCCCTACTTCAATTTAACTTCATTGGTGGTTTGATTCTCGTTGCCAAGTAAATCGAATACTTTGTTTTCTTGATTTTAACCGGAATTGAACCCTCGATGTAAATCTCCATAGTCGAGCAATTTTATGTGCACAAAGATTTTAAAAGTATACCGAGATATATACGCGCAGATATCTAATTGTCATTTTCATCAAGAGAAAATGACTTGTTGTTTGCCATGAATTGCCTAAAGAAAGGCCTTTTCGTAGTCGAAGATTAAACGTTAGTGCATTTTTGTACGAATTACAAACGAGTAATAGTATTTGAGTGAATCCATTGTTAGGATCTCACGAAAGATGGTTATCGGATGAAGTTGTCGATGCATGCTTAAATTGAATTGAAAGTATGTAGGATAGAAATCTAGGGTTTGTTGCAACCACAAACAATTAGAAAATATATCTTTTGAATATAAACAGTGTAAAGATTAAAACTAAGGGTAAGGTGGAAATCCAATTAGTGTTTGGAAGGTGATGAATTAAATCCTAATTTTTTGTGGGAAAAATCCCAATCAATGACAAATAATGTAATCATGTCTAAGTTGTTGCCATTCATCTGGCAAAATGTCCAAATCCAACCCAACACCACCAAAATTATATATTATATATATATATATATATATTTTCAAACTTGAATCACAATTATATATGATTTACCCTTGAATGAGACTTAAAAAAGATAATTAATTAACTTAATTAATTGAAATTAGTAAGTAGATTACATCAATCAACGTTGATAATTTTGTTGAAGGGTGATTGGACTCCTAATCATATAGGGTGGTGATATTCTTTTCAAATGCATGTTTTTACGCTATGGTTGATTGAGACTCATAAAAATAAAGACAATACACCACGATTATGAATTTGGGTTCAATCTTTGTCAATTCTATCACCAAACAAAATTGCCTAACCAACCCTTTAAATATATATATATATATATATATTACTTTTTAAATTCATATATCTTATTAATTATATATAAATTTTAATAAAAAACCATAAAAATTACTAAATAACTCGAAACTTAATCTCTTTTTTAAAAAAGAAAAGTACCAATTATTTAGTAAATGAATTACTAATAATATTTTACTTATTTATATTCGTGTTTGTATTCATATATTATTTTTAATTATAAATTTATATATATTTTTTTTGCGTTAGTTTATCAGTAACTATATTAATTCACTACATTTTGATTAATTACTTATGTAAAAAAATTAGTTTGCGTCGTTATTCTATCAAAACTTTTTCGAAGATCATACGCTAAATTTTTATACCACCTTTTTAGTTTAGCAACGGGAGTATTATCTTATTATTTTTCGGTAAAAAGTAAAACATTTGCACAAAAGAATAAATGATTTAAAATAAATTTTTTTTTCGCAAACCCTTTTTTAGAAATTAATTTTAATTCTTAATTGTTGCAAATATAAGCACGACCCGTGTGATTTACATGAATTAGATGTCGAAATAATATACCTAAGTTTGAATAAATAGTAAGTTACATGTTTTATGGGGGCATAATTCGATCAAATTCACGAATTAAAATCATTACTATGGTTAATGAAGTTGGGGAATGGAAGACATTATTATTATGAGCTTGGATTTAAGACCCACTAATTATGTGAGTAATTATTTTTGTTCCATAAAAAAATAGTTTGAAATTTAAAAAAAAATACTTAATTTTTAACTCGAGTAATATTTCTTTATTTTTACGAATAGTTTAAGAGTAAATATATATTACGTTGTACTAAAAAAATATATAAATAAAAAAAAAATCCTAATTACTCACAAAAGAAGAGAAATGAAAAATAAAACAGAAGGTGTTTAGTTAGGCCTTTAAGAAATAGGCTCTGCCTAATACATATATATATATATATATTTGAGCCTACAATATGTATGTGTGTATATATATATATATGGAATAAAAACCCAATTGAAAATAGATTTGACCCACGAAGCCCATTTTTGAATTACCCAAAAATTGAGGGTGTACAAATTTTGGGTTCAATTGGGCCAAATTCTCAGCCCAAATTACAATTTTCTTCTTTCGAAAACCAAATTAAATTACAAGTAACGCATATAACATTGAGTGTGTACATATATATATAATATCTACTTGTAAATAATAATAGTAATAATTAATTAAAATTAATTAATTATTTAATTAAGATTAGTATAAACAATCCAAAACATTATTAAATTACAATTAAGAAAATAAACCTTCATTAATTAAGGTTAGGTTTTTTAGTATCCCAAAAGCAACGCAATTCCTTTTTCGAAGTGAGGGACTTGAAGGGGGAGTTGACTAAAAAGCTAAGCGACGCCGCCGGTTACGGCCGCCGGAGCGCCGTGTCTGCAGGCTGCGTGTGTGGCCAATTAATGTTCCCATTTAATTTAATTTAATTTCTCTTTTTTTTTTTCTCAATTTATTATGATAATGATAATAATAATAATAATATAAATTCAGAAAATAATGTATTAATTATATATTAAATTCGAGATAAATATATATATATATATTTTTTAAAGTGTCTGACAGAAACAGTGAGTGTGAGATATCTTCTACTGCTACAAACAACCGGACATGTAACGACAGAGATTCGAAGTGGGCCCCGCGGGATGTCCCCGTCACCCTCAAGCTGACGAGAATCTCACAGTTATGTTGGGCCCCGTCTATCCGTCCCGTCAAGAGTAAATTCCTCCATGTGGCAAATCACGCGTGCCCGTGACAACTGAACTTGTCCGGTAGCTGTCACGTTAGCATGGCCCGCCCCCTTTGCTTTCTGAAAGCCCATTGGGCCCACACTCACACCAAATACGTACAGTTTATATGGGGACAAAAAAACATGTAGCGATTAATTCAAGGAACCCAAAAAATTAGTAAGAAGAAATTATTAAGTAAAACAAAATAAGTCATATTCATTATATTAATTATTTATTTATTTCTTTTTTACCAGCGGTAATTTTCTCCATAGTAAATCACGAAAGAAAGTGAAATCTTTTTTTTTTTTTCAATTTTATATTATAATGAATAATTTTATTTTAATATTTTATATTATAAAATATGTTGATTTTATTATCCCTTATTATTCTTTAGCCATAAATATTTGCAATTATTTTAATAAATTTATTAATTTTTTAAAGAGAATATGTAATAGACGGGTGCGTTATTATTTTAGATAACCAATCAATTCGTCGTGTGGGATCATGCATTGTCGCAATTAGTAAGATTTATACGATCTTTGATCTCTGTGAGACGATGAATGAGCATAAAGATATTATATCTATATCACGAGCTTTATAGGTTAAAGTATCCACATATGTGTTGTCTTTTATATAAACATATAAAATTTAAATATCTTAATTACGATTGAGAAAATTCTGAATCTCGCTCCCAAGAGTGTTATTAGTTTAGACTCATTTAGTGAGATATAACAAAATATTTAAAAAATATATCTCATTTACCAAGGTTGTCACGAACCAGACCATCTCCGGTAGCAATCTTAGG